GCACATATAACTGACTGAATATATATATATATATATATATATATATATATATATGCTTCTATTATACTCCTAGTTTATATGGGGATAGAGGACTGCTGACTCATCATTCATTGCAATCCCTTGGAGTAACAAATTAGTCAGAATTTACTGTGTTCACAAATTGGAATCACTCAAGATTATTGAGACGCGCCTGCCGCTGTCTCCGAAATAGGATGAGACAGTTTTGCAGTGCTCCCCGGCTTTTCAACTTGGAGTGAAGTGCGGAATTCACACTTCGAAACGTTCTTACAATTTACGACCTATTCGCATTCTACCTTAACAAAATTTCCCCTTTCATATTGATGGAGTTGATTGAACCTATCTTGACCAACATTCTTTGAGCATGTACATCATGTTGGGACCAGGACACAGGTGCTAGTGAGCTTCTAGCTGGCAACTGTTGGGTGTATTAGGCTCTGTAACGCAACATTCTGTGGTAATGATCGAAAGATACTTTTTGGAAGCACAGCTTGCTTAAAGCTAGACAGGGGTAATCGAAAATCTATGTTTAGCTTTGAACCAAGAACATCCCAGTCAGTGGTTTCGATCGTTAACCGCTGAACTGTCTCGAGTTCACAGTATCTTATCAAACGCTCCTAATCCTCATAAATCTCCATAGTCGTAGACAAGATATGTTGTTCCCTTATTCATACACAGCTAAAGATGACGCGTAAATTCAGGCGTGGAATGTTTGTCGAGAAGATTCACACTTTGAAATTTCCCTTGAATTTTCCCTTGATCCTGTTTCGGCCTGCATGACCTTGTCTTCACGCGGGTGGTATCTCGACCATACACCGAAAGGCTGAGGAGAATGGATGCACATCGTATCTTTCGAACTGTACCACACACATCGTCCACTAGTGGTTTACATCACGAGGCCAATCTGAATCGTTAATTTGGACTAAGTTAGAAGGGATTCCAGATATCACCGTCCAGTTCATAGGCAGTATTGTCAACAGAAGTGATGCTTCCCCTTTTCCTTTCGTGAAACTTCCCCACGCATTGTGGCTCTTTATTTCTATTCTAAAAATTTTCGGCAACTTTCCGTTAGATGACTTTTTTTCCGTGCACGCTGGCACGCATCCATGCATGCACACGCGCACACCGGCTTTCTGCCTTTTGTCATGCAGCCCTGGCCACCACCTGGCTCTTTGTCCTGCTAGCCAATCAGCACACACCCCTCATCGATTTGCCGGTCTGTGTATCTCCTTGTCCAATTTCTTTCCCATCAGGGGGCGGCCTTGACTGTCAGCTGATCGCATCGGCTGATACCTTGCTATTTCCGGGCTTTCGTGTGGGGACTAGTGAGTCACAAACTAAGAGACGGTGAATAGAATTATGATTAAGATAAGGCCAAGGACTATCGTTTAGTGGTGATTCACGGTTCATTTGTTTCTGCTTGAACCTGGATACCGGGTGAATTTGACAAATGGGGAATGCCGTTACACTGCCTATCAATGTGCCCTATTTTGAATGGAGTGGAAATTTCGCTACTTGAGAGCAGTCCAATGTTTTCCACAAGTTGCCGATCCTCGTGGAGAATGTGATAACTACCAAACATTAGGGATTTGGTATTGAATTAGTTGGCTACAAAACAGGTTGTGATTGGTCTGAACTATAAAAATAACTAGGTACTGCAGTTTACTTTTAAAGGAGGTCAGAATGGGCGTGACAGCCGTTGTCGTATTTGATCGGTTTGAAACTCTTGCATTAGTAGGCCTCGTCAGCGACCGCTCCGCATTCGCCTTATCCTCTTTTAGATACCATTGTTCTGATACTGTTGCCATAGCTCTGAAGTCGGTTTACAGACACCGTAACTTAGCTGACTTTACAGCCGAGTTTGCCCTTATTTCACCAGTGTTTACTTTCACTCTGCATGACTGCGATTGCTTCGTTGTTCGCGCATGAGTTCAGTAGTCCACACTTCTGTTTGACCGAATAACGATGAATGAAGTGAGGTGATTGGTTAGGAAAGCGATATTGTGAATGACATCGAGGTTTGGTGGTCGTTGGCTTGTTCGCTGAGCTGGGCAATTTGATTGCAAACGTTTCACCACCAATCGAGGTGACATCATCAGTGCGTTATTGAAGAGAGTAGTAGTGCGTAGCGGTGGGTTAGTAGTTGTGCGTGCACGAGCTACCGACATTCTCCTCTATAGAAAATATCGAGGTTTACGGGCTAGCTAATCAGCTTGTTTGTATTGGTATTTCGCTGCGTGCGATGCGGTACCGTGTTAGAACATGCCTACAGCTGTTGTTGAATAATGATATCTCTGTAACTAACTGGCTTGTTTTTCTCTTTGCATTTGGTGCTCACAGGGTTTCATTATGATCACCGTAATCTATTTTCTCCTTCTCTTTTCTCCTTTTCTTCTCTTCTGATCGATCTTTGAAGGCTTCTATTCTTTGGTTTGTCTGTGTGACCCTGCCCTCTAGTTATATAGACTCAACTGGAATGAGCAACCTAAATCACGTTGTAGGCTATTTTTAAGCAAACACAGAGCATGTGATATAAGAAAGCCGTATATGTTTTGTTTGACCCCATTCCATATACTACGTCAAACGCGTCACCTGTGTCTGGTTTGGTTGACTATAACGGGGCCCGTTTCTTTACTGCTGCGTTCTATCTTATTTGCGATTGTCTAATTTGATCTGGAACCTCACAACTAGTTTGCTTACATCTACTAGCCGTTTAAGAGGTCACTGTCCTCGTGATTCTTTGATATTCTCATCATATTGATCAGCTGTTCTTTTCTTGTTATCCGAGGCCCAACGCTTGCATTTGGTTCTTGTTCCTCGTGCGTGTTATCAACACTTGTTTCCTGGTTGTGGAACATTCATCGAAAGAAACTCCGTTTCTGTTTTATCGACCTTTCATTGTGCTTTACTAGCAATCTAGTGCACACACTTCTACTTATCATGTCTCTATGGTTTAATATTGTTCACAAATCCACAAATCCATATAAAATCAAACATCAGTGCGCCTATCGATCTATACGGTTCGAGCTACTTCTTGTCAACTAATCAGCACATGAAAGTGCTGGTGGTGGTGCTGTGTGTGTGCACTGTTTGTGAACGCAAACTACTGAATGC